GGTCGAACGGTTACCGATTGAGACCGGTCATCAGTGGAACGGTCACCGGTTGAGACCGGTCATCGGTGACCGTCACCGTTGCATCCCTAGGGAACTCTATAATTTTGATACACCCATTACTTTTATTCTGAATTCTCTAAGAGTAACTTCTTGAATATGACAAACATAGAAAATTACTTATTTTTACCAGATTCCATTTTTCACAAATAAGCAATATAACAATTATAGAACGTGAAAAAAACGAATTAAAATCATACGCACAGTTAGTTAGAAAAATTTTAAATTCCATGGAAATTAACAACGAAACCTTTTCGGAAGTCTTCTTTCGATTTCATTCATCTTTTGATCGAAAGATATTGTTAGGATTGTAATAGTATTAATACTCACCGATACCTCAATATTCACCGATACACAACAATACCTATATATAATGATGTATTCATATTTGTAGCAATGTTTATACTCTTCTTTTCAATCCTTGTCATTTAAAGTATTGCCCTTATTGCGTTTTCCATATTTTATACATCATGCGATGTTTTTTTCACTCATTTTATTTCATCAGTATTGTCTTTTTCTCTCATACTCTTTCGTTCTCTTGGATAAGCGGGTATATAGGCGTATGTTTTGCGTGATATCAGTGTAATTTTTGATACGGATAAATATATTAATGCGCAATACTTCAAATGAGAAGAAATCGTACGAACAGAACAAACATCGTTACAGTATTGTCTCATTCTTAATAAACAAGACTATAAACAAACTTGTTAAGCTCGCACAAGACACTTTCAAATAGCATCAGATGTTGATACTCATAGATTTCAATGTTTCTCTCCACTTATTTATAGTCCTGCTCATCTCTTCAAACACTCATATATCGTTTTATTTTCAATTCTATCCAAAAATTCATATTCTTCCAAAACTCGGAATTAAATACTTTGTTAAATCTAAATTAATGATAAGTATAAGAAAATAGCATTATGTCATCGATAAGTTAAATAATAATAAACTTTTCAACGATAATATTTTCGAAATTCTTTTGATTATAAGTGATTTGATAATATGACAGCCAATATTCTTAGTAGTAACTCAATAAATTCTATTTAAGTATATTAACAAGTCATCAATAAAAACAAAATTAACTCAAATTTCGATTTGCTTATATTTTTATATTCTTGATAGAAATTTTTATAATCAATCGGATCGTTCATAATGCTCGCAATTGACCAGTTGACATGATAAATGTCAGACGAAAGAAATTTTATTCATGCGTAGGATTTAATATAACAATGAAGATTATCAAAAGTATTATAATCACAAAAACAAACAGTAGAAAAACATCTTGTTTTTTTATTGTGAAGTCTAATGACTGAATCTACTACAATCATCTTCCTTCTATTATTTTCTCATAACAGAAGCATGTATTTATTGATCCATATCGGCACAAATTAATACCTGGATAATTTGCATGCTTTATTGCTCCTTCACTTCAATGTTTATTGTGTATTATCAACCGAAACGATTCAATGTAAAAAAAAGAAAAAAAAGGAAAAGGCACAAGTTAAGGTATAGACGATTAAATCATAGTCGCTCACCTTGCATTGTTAATCAAAAGTATGCATGCATGCATGCATGATTGCTTAGTCTACCTTTAGTGGTCTTTTTCTTATTAGACAAATAAATACGATATTCTTTTCATTTATTTCGATACAATTATTAAATCATTGGTTTTAGAAAGATGGCTTCATCTACGACTATTACTAATCCAATCACATTATCATCGAATGATAAAGAAAAATTAGATAAATTAGTGAAAGATTTAAGTAAAATTGAATGGGAAAATGGCGAATATTATTTTCATAATTTTGTTGATTATTATCAATTACCACAAATAATACGTGTTGAACAAACATGGAATACAAATTTGATTAAAAATCAATGGTTGTATTTACAAGCATTATTTGATCGTTATTTAAT